AAAAAGCACAATTCGATGCCCAACAGTTCACAAAATATGGTATACAAATACAGTATAACAACAACAATTATAACTAATTAAAACAATCAAATTAATACAATAGCAGCAATAAAATCATATTGCGATCAACATTCGCCAATTCATAAATCAATAATCCATCCAGCATTGTCATTGTCCTTTCCTACACTGGTCGTCATTGTCTTTTATTCATCTGTCAGCTTACCCGAAGGCCTGGCCCCATATCCAGGTCTTTAGCTTCCTTCTGAAAGAGAGCAGGGATGTTGATGACCTAATTTCCCCGGGGAGTGAATTCCACAGGCGAGGGGCCACCACCCAGAAGGCCCTGTCCCTTGTCCCCACCAGTCTCACTTGTGATAAAGGTGGGGCCAAGAGCAGGGCCTCCCCAGAGGATCTTAAACTCTGAGGTGGGATGTAGAAGGAGATCCATTCAGACAGGTACGCTGGGATGTATAGTTCACCTACAATCAAAGAGCATTCTGAACTGCACCAATGATGGAATTGAACCAAATATTGCACACAGAACTCCCACAATGAACAGAAAATATATATCAGTGATTGGTTGGGGGGGGGGGGGCGCCAAAATACTGTTTGCTTACCATTGAAAATTACCTAGGGCCGCCTCTGGTTGTGGTGCCCAGAATTGAACACAGTATTCCAGGTGTGGTCTGCCCAATAACAGTCTGAAATATTGTTTTCTGCTGCCCTGGAGACTAGGACACAAACAATGGCTTCAAACCACAGGAAAGAAGATTCCACCTGAACATTAAGAACTTCCTGATTGTGAGAGCTGTTCAGCAGTGGAACTCTCTGCCCTGGAGCATGGTGGAGGTTCCTTTTTTTGAGGCTTTGAAACAGAGGCTGGGTGGCCATCTGTCGGGTGTGCTTTGAATGCGATTTTCCTGCTTCTTGGCCCACGAGGTCTCTTCCAAATCTATTATTCTATGGTTTTCTTTCGATGAATGTCTCAGATGAAACATTTGTCTATTTTTACTGAAATCATTTTCCCGCACACGAAATCCTCTCCTTTGCAGCAGTCATTACTAGAGAAATATCCAGCCTGATTTACCAGAATGTGCCTACGTTGTTTGCTGAAATATTTCTGGATTTGATTAGGTAGTATCTCTCAAATTAAGTATCTGAGATGAGGTCAATACATTTAACACGAATGTTTTACCACGAATATTGTATTTTCTCGGAGGTATCTCACTGTGCACTTCAGTCATGGTTGACTTTCAGAAAAGAAAAAACAATCCTGTATGGAGAGAATGGATGTGTGGGCTTATTTCACCCAATTTTTCACTCAAAAAGATACAAGTGTCATTTTTCAAAGGTGGATTTAATTTTCCAGAAGTGAGTCTGTATCATAAGGCACATCTCCTGACTTGTACAAATAAGAGGCCAGACAGCTTAATTCGGAAACTCCACTGAAGGCAATCTTGGAATCAAATTACTTGGAACTTCTTTTGCTCTTTGAATGGACTACGTTGGCTTCTGTTCGCTTAAGGAAGAAAGGATGATACAGCTGTGATTTTTGCTGAAGGTGCTTGAAGTACAACATGTTGTCAGTTACAATTTAACCTATATGTTCATTCTAAGACATCTGTAGGATATTTCTAATTTGAAGATGATTGGGGAGATTTTATCAAAGAACTTAAGTGATTATGGGCAGGGGCGGCTCGTCCATTATGCAAAGTAAGCGGTCGCAGAACACTTTTTTTTGCCAGGGGCACAGAGGCGTCTCTGTAAATGCCCCTTGACCACCACTTGAGGAGTGTCCCCTCAGCTCACAACAGCCCTAGCAGTCCGGGGGGAGCCTCGGCTTTCTTGCCTCACTGCTGGGCGATCCT